GACCACTACGTTTGTATAAATTGAACATTATAGGTCAAAGTTTTGGCAAACGAAGCGACAAGCATCACCAAAATTGCTTTGAGCGTGTCTCGATCCCTTGAGATGAATGTACATAAACTAGTTCCTATCAGGCATACCTAGTCTCAGAGAATGTTGGAGCAGTTGTCTGCAACTTACTATTTCATGGACTCCTGAAAAGGAATTGATTTGCGATTGCGTTCGTTTCGTATATTACCCAAGTATTCAAAGATGGTAGACTGGTTTTAGATGTATTTTATATTAAAAACGTTTGTATTACATAGTACCTAATATTATTTTGCATGTATTTATATACTGTGTGTGTGTATGTTGTGAAATCTGTAAAATTCGGTCACAAGTATGCTGATTTCTACAAAAAAGGAGATGATATAGAACTTTATGTTCGATTGAATTAAAAACAGAATACTTTTAGAATCTTTAAAAATAAACAAAAATAAATTACACATAACTTAAAATACTAATAATAATAAAAAAAAAATATCAACATCTAGGTCTATTACAGACTCTTATATCAAATCTACCGTCAGTGGTTTCGAGATGCTTCTCAACTCGAAAGTACTCCGAACTGACTCCGAAAAACTCAGTTCGTATTCTTTTCAATATATTACTTACAATTATAATAATATATTGAAAAGAATACCAACTGAGTTTCTTGTAATGAAAAATATGGCTGATAAATATATTAAATATAATTTTATCTGTATCACTATCGTCAACATAACTACATGTCAATAACATTCTACAGAGAAAATATTGAACATCCTATTATATAAAACACATGATTTTTTGTGCAGTTGACACTTAAAATGAATTGTTTCCGAGACAACCGCCAAGGGATTGGACTGAAGATTTCCTGTTATTGTACTGTTGTTTATAGTAACTGAGAATTACACGATATATTGTAATACTAGTTGAAACAAGAGGCTTTGTTTACTTTTGATTGACATTATTTCATAAATATAATTATTTATAACAATATTATTCAGAAGAAAAATACAATTTCCTTGTAAATTATAGTTCAGTTTATGATATTATATTTTACTCATATTATAAACGTATAATTATTAGATTATTGTAGTAGTACTCCTGTATCTGAGTATACACTGTTCACAGTTAAATCAATGTACCATTTTCAATTAATTAAAAGTGTGTCAATCATCACACAATCCCTCCATTTTTTATTTGGTTAAATAAAAAAATGGATGGATTGTGTGAAAGATGATACGTATAAAAGGAGAATAAGCGCAGATATGACGGCCGATAGGGATAGTGGAAGAAGAGGATATACTGTGACGACCACACATAATGAGGTAAAGACAAAATAACGACCTATCTGTTCGTTTTGCTTTTACTATATACTTACTGCTGTCGTACTTACGAATCATAGTGTAATACGTATAACAAAATTGAAAATTATTTATGTAAGTAGGCACTTCCTATTTCCATAAAATAATTTAACTACGATTCGTAATATAATCTTTAGAACGTCAGAAAATCCACGTCCCGTCGATTTTCCATTCATCAACAATGATTTAAAAGTTTTTGAAGAAAATCCATCCAATTATGCTAAAGAGCCAATTTCATGTCCGCCACTCTTGTTTACTGTTTTCAAAGGGTGTACTTTAATTGAACCCGTTCTAAGGACAATGGGAAGTTTTCACAAGCATTTTTTTCATTATTTCCGCCTCTTAGTCTCTCAAGTTTAAAATAATGAGAAGACGCGTATCAAGGAGCAATTTCCTTTAAAAGATTAAGCTTTGTAGCGGCATTATAAGGAACAATACAACATGATGCCAAGTAAAATTTTTTTTTGATCATATACTCGTACAATGATTTCATCGGTTGCGTAAAAATGTGATAGCGATATGTCTTTTATACTTTTTATCGAGACAACAATATTAATTATTTAGTTGATATCTTTTATTATTGTAATTGTTGGCGACAGATCAATTTTAATATATTACTTATTTGTTTTATATACATCCTTTTTCACACACAGTTTTTTACTTTTTTTAACATCATTTAAGACATGCTTGTTGTGAATTGTCACAACATTTATTATTAGTATATATAAGCTATGTATAAATAATACAAATATGTATATGTTATATTTATATATTTGCACATTTATGTACTTATATGTTAAAGGCTAAAAGATAAAGATATGGTGCCTTCATTGATAGTAGCCTTATCCAAACATTGTTGGAAACATTATTCATGAGTACTGATTTGATGTATACATGTATTGTAGGTTGCTCTCTGCCGAAAAGTGACAAGTTTGAATGTATATTTCACATATTATTGGAATATGTCATAACTTCTGATACATGAATGTTAAAACAACAATATACTCCTTTTTTGGGTAGTCATGTAAAGGACATTATCTAAATGAACATAACAAGACAATGCTGGCGAACTTGGCAGCCTTATTTCCGAAATGTCAACAGTACTGTTAGTGGCGGGCATACAAAACAAGGGGAACATCTTGGCGGGAATTTTTGCTTTATATACGAGTACAAAATGTTTATTGATTGGGAGGATAGAGAAACCAAAGTAACCGTTTCTAGGAAACGTTCTTTTTCTGTATCTAACCACTGTTTAAAAAAGGGAGATTGTTAGTAATGTGGGTGGCATATTTTAGGTTGATCCTTTTTTATTATATGTAAATTTATACCTATATTATGTATGTTTATTTATTCGTTTAAAATTATAGTGTAGTGTGTATGCCCAAAAAAAGGTATACTTTGTTTTGGATTTTTGTCCTCTCCTCTTCTTCTAATAAAACTGCCGTTTGTTATTAATTTTCTACATACAGATTGTTCTACTTACCTGATAACCAATGATATTCCAATGGTGCCCTGCTATAGTATACAGTTACTTGTAGCTCAGCGGGCACCGTTCTATTATCACTGACTGACTGGTCTGCGCTGATAACTATGACTGATTAATTTTATTGCAGTAACTATACTATTTATTTACTGTTGGTAGTTTGTATTCACTCAAAATCTGAACAATTTTATTTAAAAGAGAATTTAATTTTATTTAAAAGAGGAACACGCAAGATTCTTCTCATTCTTCTTCTGATGAGTCTAGTTTTCGTTTAATGAGTGGTAGAATTAAAAAAATATGACTATCCAAAAGTGCTTATGTTAAGTATATTTGATTAAGATTATTTTTATTCTATTCTAAAAAATACTAACTGTATCTGTAACTAATAATAACTGTATATTTTTGAAAAGAATAGAGATCTTTACAATTATTGCACACGTGAGATGCTGGGGTGAGTCGCTAGGTTCAATAAATAAGGGTCGTTATAGAAATACTCGTAGCGTGTCATTTTCTGTAAGGTAGAGTGAACACGTCATTCGATAGTTACGCTGTTATCGCATTGATTTGTTTTCAGTTGAGCAATCTTAGTTCATGGATGTCACACGTAGGAAAATCCTGATACAGGTTTTTTTACTGTGTGGAAAAATCGTCAAAAATCCGTTCCCCCGATGGAGGAGTAACGAAGAGTGAGTGGGATCTTTACCGACTAAAAATGTACTTACGAGCGTCATTGCCGGAGCATCCATCCATTCATCCATCCAAACTTACAAACTTCCATGCTTATAATATTCGTTATATGATATTTACTAAAAACAAATGAAGGTTAGAGAACCAAACTGATCCAGTATACGATTTTTGATATGTTGGCAACCCTAGTTCAGTTGTATGTGTTGACTGATTGAACTGTTAGTAAAGTTGATTATTTGCTCTCTTTTTATATACTTACTATTTATTTGTTTGTTTACAATAATACCATTAGAGGTTGAAATCTTTTTCATTATACTCCAGAAAGTTATGCAATAATTATGTAACACTAGCTGTCCCGCCAAACGTTGTTTTGCCATATAAATTAATAACGCTATAAAAAAATAGGGGTTGATGATAGAAGGGTGAAAATTTAGGATTGTATGTATTTTTGTATGTTGTATCATAAAAAATAGAAACAAAAAATTTTGGCTAAAAAATAATAAAAAAAAAAATTGTGTGGACTACCCCTAATTTAGGGGGATGAAAAATAGATGTTGGCCGATTCTCAGACCTACTCAATACGCTCACAAAATTTCATGAGAATCGGTCAAGCTGTTTCGGAAGAGTATAGGAACGAAAACTGTGCCACGAGAATTTTATATATAAAATTTAAATAATATTGGATTAATATTTCCATGAATTCTCTTCATTCGTTATGCGGATTAATTTTTAAACAATTACCTTGTCACAATAACAATTTGTTGGTAATACGTAAAAATATTCAGAGCCGTCAATAATGTCATTGTGATAAAGTACTAAAGTGCTTATAAATGACTAGCTAAACCCGACACGCCTCGCTGTGGCTCAGTCCGCTATTAATTATCGCGAAACGCTTTCAATCTCCCGTTCCCGAGGTACTTCCGGATGAAAACGATACAAAAATACTTTGATATATAAATGCAATGTTGTGTATAGAATTTAAGGCAATTCGTCGATTACTTTTCAAGCTATGCTGATACAAACTTACATAAGTTAAGCTACATTTTTAAGTATCGACTATTTTCTTTTAAAAAAATTACAATGGTATATGCTGTTGGGTACTGTATTCTCACTAATTTGAATTTAAAAATGAATCTGTATTTTTCTAAAAAAACGTACTCATTTTAAAAAATAAGTTAGTATTAAGAGTTTCTTGTCAGTTCTTTGAAAGCATTACGAACTGACGTTAGATGTATGTCACATCTACCGTTAGTTCGTAATACTTTCGAGCTAAGAGTTACATCACAAGAGTCTGTAGTAGACCTACATGAATAAAGATATTTTGAATTTAATTTTATTAATATAATGATATGGATATACAAAATGTTTTATTGTAGCTATACTGAGCTCCCGGAGTTTTATGTAAGTTATTTGATTTTCTAATATATTTTTCTTTTTGTCTACAGGTAGTTGAAGATTGGAAGTTCATGTCAATGGTGTTGGACCGCTTCTTTCTATGGTTGTTCACAATAGCGTGCTTTGTTGGCACTTTTGGTATCATCTTCCAGTCTCCATCTTTGTATGATACCAGAGTACCGGTAGACCAGCAGATATCTTCTATTCCCATGCGGAAGAATAACTTCTTTTATCCGAAAGACGTCGAAACCTATGGTATTGTCAGTTAATTTGTTATACAAAATTGCATCCTACCTAATACTAATACTCTAAAGGTAACAGTGAATTTATTTTCTTTAATTATAATAGTTATATGTAATGCGAAAAACATATTACGCCGACCCCAAATAAATGGGATAAGGAAGAAGCAGATGATGATGATGATGATGAGTCGAGATGAGTTATAAGTATAATGTCTGTACTCAAATAACAATTATTTATCATTATAATTATATAAATTAATCATTGATATAATTATTAATAAATAAATAATAAATGTTATTTTTAGTGTTAATTGTTTATTGACGTCGACTTAACATATATAATATATGTATATATAGGTTATCCTTACTTTCCATGTGGTAGGATGTAAGTTCTTTGGTGGGTAACTTACCTTTAAATAACCTGTCATAATTGCGAATTTAAGTAAAGCAAGTTAAGTTTTTTAATATGTATTTTAAGTGTAAAGGTTATTTGGAAAGTAGTCTTTATATGCGTATATGTATAACTTACAGGCAATTGATATCGTTTTAAAATTGTGACAATTTTTGGCGGGAAAACAACAAAAATTCTCATAATCAAATATAATGTTACACTTAATAATATGTAGGTACCGATAAGTTAATAGTAGGTAGGTATTGAATATAAAAAATTTAATTAAAATAATTTTTATTTATTATTTATTTCATACATAATCCTGATCGTCTCGATAAATGACGGTCTTCCACAGTGCAGTTTTCTAGAAACTTTTTGCCACGCACAACTACATTGTGGAATCACCTTCCCAGCAATGGTATTTCCGAACCGATAGGATATTGAAACCTTCAAGAGCTTATTCCTTTTTAAAAGGTAAGTCACTTGCAATTCTCCTGGTGTTGCAGGTGCTCATGGACGGCGGTAATCACTTACCATCAGGTGAGCCGCACGGTCGTATGTCCTCTGTGCTATAAAAAAAGCTTATTGGCATTTGATAAAACATATTTTCTCTTTAATAACTGCATCAAGTTATTTTTGTAAAGAATCACTTACACTCCAAGTATTACACAGGTAGCTGAACGAATGTTTTCTCAAGACTTGCTTATTTATTTTAACAATAAAAATAAATGCTCGGAATAGAGGACTATGTTTAAATATTACAGCGGAAAAAAACGAATCGGCTTTTTCCTGCTTCTGTTAAATGAGGCAGGTATTTGCCGAATAGGAAATTCTTTTGCTGTGTAACGAGAAACAATAAACGTGCTACATGTATCTTGTTATGCGTTTAAATACATATGTGTTTGTGGTTGTTATCATATTAAACGAAAATTATCGTATGTTTCTAGCTATTGTATCCATTACTGTTAGTTATAGGGAAGAATGTTTATCTGCCTATTTGTTACCATTTTACCAAGCCGCTGAATGGATTTTTATGAAATTTTATATAAAGATTGTATCACATAGGCTATTTGATCTTAAGAAATAATCTTGAAGATAATGAAATAGAAAATTAAAGTTTCTTCAAACGGAGTCACGAGTAACAACTAGTTAAGTTAAACAAAAATGGCAACAATATAAAGAATTTATAGAATAATATTACAGTTACATTTATACAATAACTAGCTTTTGCCCGCGGCTTCGCTCATGTTAATTGATCCCCTTAGGGGTGGAATTTATCAAAATCGTTTCTTAGGGGATGCCTGCGTCATAGTAGCTTTATGCATGCAAAGTCTTAGCCCGATGAGGTTTAAATTGATAAAGTTTCATACAAACTTTCATCCTCTATTTTATCCCCTTGGAGGTAGAATTAATCAAAATCCTTTCTTAGCGGATGCCTACGTCATAACATCTACCTGCATGCCAAATTTCAGCCTGATCCGTTCAGTGGTTTGGGCTGTGCGTTGATAGATCACTATGTCAGTAACCTTTGAGTTATATATATTTAGATAATATTGTAATTACATATATTAAGCCTATATATATATATTAGTATTTATTATAATTGACGGCCTCGGTAGTCTAGTGGTGTAGCATACCGCCTTACCTCCAATGGTCGCAAGTTCGATTCCTTGCACAGTACAAACATTTGTAGACACATGAATATAATTGTTTGTATTGGACTTGGTGTTCTCTATCAAATCGTGCATTTACCATAGCTAATGAATTTAAGTTTTTTTTTATACCACGTAGGTGGCAATCAAGCATACGGCCCATCTCATGGTAAACGGTTACCGCAGTCTATGGACGCCTGTGTTTACGATCATTTGTCTAGTACCAAGCAAGTATAAGCTCTACTTAACTTAGGACTAGATGGCGCTGTGTGAATTGTCCTAGGTTATTATGACTATTAATATATTGTTATTTTATTTCGGAATATATTTTATATTCCATATTTTGTTAGTAAACAACTTATAAACTATGTTAATAAATTACTATATATATATCCTTATTATAATTATTATGACTGTAGTTAAATAGAGAATGTTTTAAAAACAATTAAATAGTTACTCGTAATAATAAGTATATAATATACACGGCTGTGAATTTGGGTTTTGAAAAGATTTTATAAATTATTAATAAGAATTTATTTAATGCATGTGTAATAAACGATTGTCACAGAAATTTCGTGCACAATAAATATTATGGTAAATTAAATATATCTTGTTTTATTTTAGAATTTATGAACACAATTAAGAATTAGGGTTAATTGTTTTTTCAAAGCATTTTGTAATAAAATGTTTTTATATATTTTATAGATATTTTATATAATGTATATAATATAAAAATATTTTCAGAATATATTATGAAATATCGAACACATTATTATTTTATTAGATTCAATTTTATATTTATACTTGGTGATCACACTATTTCAATGTTTTATTACAGTTAATGATTTCACGTAACTAAAACAAAGAAATCTAAAATAATTTAAATTACATTTCGAGTATTTTTGTTTAAATTACATGCTAATAACAACTGACTTGAATAATTAAAATACCTATTTATTATAATAAAATATTTCTCAATTTCAAGAATATTTAATTCTCGGACGAATCGTCAAATCGTAAGTGTCAAGGGTTCATATTCTTGAAGTAGGTAAAACAGTTGCGGCTATGTATAAAATCACCATTAAATTTATCTAATAAAGCTGAAAGCTTTATGATTTAGGTGCTAATGAACTTGTAATTGGTAAAAGAAAAGATGTAGCAGGCGTCGCAGCAATTAAGAATTTTATAGTTCTATGAAATTGGGTTTTTTAATAAGTTATTGGGAGGTTATATATGTAGGTATTCCATACTTATTAAGAGTTAGATTCTAATATATTTATTTATTTAAGTTCAATGCACACAATACAAAATTTAGTAAAGTACATTTGGCGGACTTAACACATTATCTACTGCATTTTCTACCAGAAAACCATAGCTGGTGCAGAGAATATTGGCGGTGCAGATATAATAAATGACGAACAAAATGCAATAATATTCTAGTCCAGTATAAAAAAAATCTTATTTAATAAGGATTTGTAGGGAGATTGTAAAGATGTTCATTATTTACTGAGGGTTCTATAGAAATATATATATATTATAGTTTAAATCTATACAAATATAGTTCAGTTCAATGCCATTGGGTTTTCAAGGCCCTGTAGATTTTATAAACAGACACTTCTCATTTATTAAGAACCCGAAGAACATTACTAAGAGTCCCATATTTAATAGATATGAGAGCAGTAGAAGAAGATGCCGACCCCGAATAATGTGGTAAAGGTAAGAAATAATGATGGTAGCTATACAATTTTGGTCGTCTAACACGTGAACCACCAATATTCTTAATAGCTAGTTTTTCATGGAAATTTACCTTAGGAGATGAAGTCAACTACATCGGTAAGTAAACTAATTCTACCGGTAGGTAAGAATAGAGAAGAACATAAAAAATGTTGTATTGTAAATGTATACCTTGGTGCTTAAAGAGTGGACTGTATTTTTTTAATAAAAGAAAGGAATTATTTTAGAAGCAAGAATCAATACAATTTCGTCTAGAAAGAAACTCTCCGCATACCCCAAAGTGTAGGAAAGAAACACTAAACTCACTTTACTTCTAGAACGTCCCAACGTGTAGTATTTATGTAGGTTAATGGCCATTAACCTAGATAAATAACAACTATATATTTTTTTTGTAAATAATATAAAAGGATCGTATTTTTGTAATAGTTCTAATTATATTTTTTTTTTATAATTATTAAGTTTTTTTCTTTGTGGCCAGTAATGTCAAGTGCCCTTTATTGGAATACGAGCGAGGTTATACAACCTGCTTCAACTATGAAAGTGTTCAGAATACGAAAAATACAAACAAAAATGAATGGGTGAAATAATGACACATGATAAGAACTAACCGTATCATAATATTTATTTTATTTATTTATTTAAACCTTCGTCAGTGTACAGTTTGATGCATTCGTGCAATTCGATGCAAACTAGCGTGAGTTGTATATATAGTATATCAGGAGTCAGAATAATGTATGTAGATATCTCTAGATCTGTGACACTTTTTATGAACATTTGATGTTTACATCATAATAAAAAAAACAAAGGAGACATATTATATGTATATTGGTTTATTTGTCAGCCTCAGTATTCTAGCAGTTAAGCACTCTACCTTACATTTGATAGTCGGTGGATCGATTCTCGCACATACAAAAATTTTTTATTCATAAGTGTGATTGTTTGTATTAGAGTGGATGTTTTCTATGCGTATCATATGAGTATTTACAAAGGAAAATATTTTATAGTTTTTTCCAGTTATTTAGTAACCATAGTACAAGCTTTACTTAGCTTGGGATTAAATGGCGCTATGAGAATCCTATTATTATTGTAATTTGTTCGCAAAAATACATATAGCCAGTTCTTGTACAGATGAAATCAAAATTCACGAGTCTTTTATCTCAACTAATCGTGTTATAATGTCGAACAAGCTGAAGGGACAATCGTCTAGATATCGGTCGCAATTTCCTTTCTGCCCTTCCAATTCGGCTGCATAATACTGGTCATCGATTCCCTCCTCTCGAGATGATGATGGTCTGGAAATTGATTAATGGTGTTAAAAATCATAAAAAATAATGCAAGTTCATTCCACCATCAAAGTGTACGCGAAAGATACAAGGTAATGAGTTTCTTACGTGAATATAATATGCATGATGTGACCTAGAAGGCCATTGTGATGTAGTGGAGTTTCAGCTGCTTCGCAGATATTCCTCAGCATGCACGCTTTACCGCTCATGCCGTATCTGAAAAAAAAGAAAGTTAAAAAGTTATTTTTATAAATTTATTATTGTACTATTATAAATTCGTGCCATTTGGTAGTTTGTATTTACAGAAAACACTAACATAAGTGGGATTATAAACATGAAAACGTATTATTTGTATTAGGTACTGATTATTCCAAATTTTATTGAGAATACTATTGGAAGTACATAGTTGACGGGGAAGAGGATCGTTAGTAATGCAATACCCCATTGTTATCAATGTACCATGTCAGGTTGGCGTTCACGTCGTTCCACCTGAACACTATCGTGATAAATTCCCAGTAACTTTATCACGATGGGCTAACTGACCTGACTTCATGCTCATATTATTATCCTCCACTGGTGTCCCGCCAGCGTAAACCGTTAGCGCAAATTTATATGCTAAACTGGACGGTAGGGAAAAAATTATAATACAAAAAAATTGATATTCATAAAAATGTGCTACATGAATAAATGAAATTTGAATTTGAATTAAAAAACATAGTAAATGGACTGGTAAAGAGACAAACACAGTAACATGTTAATACCACTATTTTCCAACGGTCGTGCTGCTGTCTCTGGAGAGTTAACCTCCATTCTTGCTTCCGAGTCCATTAACAAAATGAATGGCACGAAGTTAACGTCGTGTCAGCGGACCATATGTTACTTTATGGTTGCTTTTGTATTCGAAATCACAGGAAATCCAATTGATTGTGAAAATACTTATTAAGAGGACAGAAAACCTGGTAGTCTAGTGAAACTAAAAAAGACATGAATGAAGGAATAGATGAATGAGTGAATGAATGGTTATTTACAAAATATTGGTATATGCACAAACGGTGGGGAAAAATGATAATACAAAAGATTTGAGGTTCATAAGCGGCTAAAATGTGCTAGAATAAATGATAGTTTGAATTTGAATTAAAAAAACATAGTAAACATGAAAGAGACAAACACAGTAAATAATATGAATGGTCGTGAATGTCTCTGGAATTAACCTCCATTCTTGCTTCCGAGTCCATTAACAAAATGAATTGGTATATTTACTTTATGGTTGCTTTTGTACAAATCAAAGTCGATTGTGAAAATACTTATTAAGTGGACAGAAAAGAGAACCTGGTACTCTAGTGAAACTAAAAAAGACATGAATGAATAAATATATGAATGAGTGAATGAATGGTTATTTACAAAATATTGGTATTTGTATATACATAAAATATAGCCATAACCGTATATATATATATAAACAGCTGTGCCCGTGATTTCGTCCGTGTCTTATCTACTATAAGCTTGACTAAATAAAGAAAAAAAAGCAATAATCTAATCCAACTTTCATATCCTATTTTATTTACTCCCTTAAGGGTAATATTTTTGCAAATTTTGAATGTCATATTTAATCAACTGCCTAAAAGTAAGTTTCAAGCGTATCTTTCGCCTTCCATTACAACCGCATTATTTGCATTATAAGGTACCCTATGTCCTTCCACAGGTTCTAGACTATATGTGTACCAAATTACATTTAAAGCGATTTAGTAGTTTTTTACGTGAAAGGTAGACATACAGACAGAGTTATTTCGCATTTATAATATTAGTAAGAATAACAAATGTTCAGCAGTATTTAACATTATAGGCGTGTAAATTACTTTAAATTTTTATTCCATTTAAAACAATGATTAAATTACTTAACTTTAATGATTTAATTAATATACATTTCTCTTTCATAAATTGCAGTTACATAGTTAGAAAATGTTCTACAGAATTAAAACAATACTCACTCTTTGAAACGATTTTCTAAAACCATATAAGCGAGTTCCCTGGTGATACTGCGGCTTTGACGTGAACCGATAATCTGTAAGTATTGAGAAGTAATTATTTAAAAAAATATATTGTTTTTAATTATTTACTATTTTTAATTAATATTAATAACAACCATAGATCTATCCTACTTAGCTTGGGATTAGATCTCCAGAAGCTAAAAAAAGTTTATATTATGGGTACTAGACAACTGATATATTGTAAATATATACGTAATATATATATATAGTATACAAACTGTATGCATTGTGCGAGGAATGAAACCTGAGACCAAAGTAAGGCAGTATGCTACAAGTGGCCACAACGCTAAACCATAAGTAAAATCTGACACAAGTTATCTTTTATGTCAACCAGAGAACCCAAGACCTCTTGAGTGAAACTCAAGGTAGGGACCCACTAGGCCACTAGGCTCTTTATAACATAAGTTTAGATAAGTAGACTTACCGGTAAATTGGGGAACAATACTTCGTCTATTTGCGTGATGTTGGTGACAACGCTGTAATTCGATTCGAAGTTATAGGAGACGAAAACATTTTTATCAGGAATATCTACTGGCACTGCGATGGCTACGAATGTCTGAAAAGGTAAGAATTTTATATTATCACTTTACGTATCTAACACTTTCTTAATGAGAATCTGTAAGAATAAATGAAATGAATAAAAACTCGTTAATGTTTCCCACACAGGAAATATAATTACATAAACTAATATGTATACATTTGTATTATATAGACACCAGAATACAATAAATAGTAAAGTCTATATTAAAATAAACTTATAATTAAGCACTTTTGAATAGACATAATAATTTGTTTAATATAACTTTCATTCGGAAAGCTGTCTCATCATATACGCTTAAAATAGTAATACGAATCTTTAAATTATGAAATTTATATGTTTTTTGTAAAAGTAAAATCGATACAAATAGAAATATATATAAGAGTATAATAACATAATGTTTAGAAACTTATTTTTAAAGATATAGCCGTAAGAAAATAATAAATACAATAAATAGTAACATTAATAAATAACTCTTTAAAAACATATTTAAGTACGGTTTGATAAATATAACTATATATTACAAAATGTATTAATTTCATTATTTTAAATAAAATTACACAAAAAATATTTCGATTATGTCCTTCTCCAAGTTTTTGGCCTGTCTAAGAACTGCAGTGGGTTATATACTAGAACGTATATATAAAGCTGCACTAGCAGGCTACTAACAGATTTGGCTGGTCAGGGAGAGAAACATGAGCGGTGACGTGCGTCGGAAAAGGGGCCCTTTAAACGTACACCAGGCTCACAAGTCCCAGGAACAGCTCGGAGTTTCCCTGTCTGGCACAACACAGGGACAGGGACCCGTACAGTGAATTCATGTCGTCGACTGTACGCGTTATTATTTTATTTTAATTTTATTTTATTTGGGATACAAACAGTTTCACAATGTAGTATGTATATAAGTACATAGATATGAATTAATAATAGTAAAACCAATACAGATATCCACGGGTTAATACTTATGTTATGGTACTCTTATTATTATATACATTATTTATTTACTGGTTTCTAACCAATATGTCTAATAGGGTAAAGTATGACAAATCAAATATATCTAAATCAGGAAATTTGGTGTTAAATACATCAACAATATGGTGAAGAGGCGCTCGTGCACCGGCGTACGTCAGATAGGGAAAAGAAAGTATTAATAAGCCATGTAGCATACGAACAATAAACTTAATAATGTACAATAAATTGTGCAATCATTTTACTGGTACACTCACTACCTACATACTACAATAAATAATATATTATGTAGCGCCACCTCATCACAACATATATAACGCTACAGTGATGAGGATAACCATCGCGCTACAATTTGGTGTCGAGAAGTTCGTGTCTTTCTAGTATTATTATATTTACCCCATAAAGACTGGTAGGTGGAAATATAAGACCTCTTCTCTGTCTATCGCTCTTATATGAGGAGCAAGTGCATAGAAGTGCCCTGAAACAGTAATACGTGCACATATTAAAAATAAAACACTGTTCGTTAGTCTCGTTGAAAGATAAAAATGGCTGGCTGAAAATAGATTTAAATAGTTCTTTTAAACAAAAAAGATGTATGCAAAAATCTTGGGCGTAGTTCAGCATTAAAATACAAGTTAGTCTGATCGTGTAATTTAAATCATAAACTGCTACAGTTTAGATCGTAAAATTAATTCTAAAACTACACATAATTGGTCATTTTTATTAGTAATCTTTATTTATAAAATAGGAGACGGTATACAAAATCTACTACGCAAATGACATTTCTAGTTGAAGTTTTTTTTTTAATTAAAAAAGAACTGATATCTTACGATTGGTTTACTTCGCGTTCACTTTTCTCGCAAAACACAAACACCTCTCATTCCAATTTCTACGATACTTTTTAAATCAAGAAATAATAAGATTACATTGTTATTCCTGGCACGGGTTAAATCGCTTAGTCGATTTGCATAAGACGTGTCAATACTAAACTATTTTATTTGCTGCACTGCTTCAGATCCACTAAACTACCTGATTTACACTTGCATCGATATCGAAATCATTGTTATATTACCGATAAATCTTACATATAAAATTCTCGTGTCATAACGTTATCTACCATACTCCTCCGAAATGGTTTAACCGATTTATGAAATTTTATATGCATATTCATTAGGTCTGAGAATCAGCTACTATCTATTATTCAAGTTCAAATTTAAAAATGTATCTGTATTATTATAAACATGTACAACATTTATTTGAAAAGAATACGTCCGAATAATTGTCAGTTCTTCTCATCTCGAAATAATTTCAAACTGACGGTATTTTTGACAAGAGTATGTAATAGATCTACATGAAAAAATATATTTAGATTTTTTCTTAATCAATGTATTTATAATGTTTATATAATTTTATCATCTACATATATATTTTACAAACATGTCAACGACTTTGACGACAGCTGGGTGAAAATTAACTTTTTTTTATTAGGTACTATAAATAAAATTTCTAAAATAAAAGTAGCCTAGTTATTCCTTATAACATTAGCTATAGCTATATACAAGTAAAAGTTCTGTCATAATCAGTAGATTAGCAACAAACAGACAGAGACACGGATAAAAAAAAGTAATGTGAGTATTTAATTAATTGTTAGTAACGTACTCGTATATACTTTCATACGTAGATATATATTAAAAAGATGTTAAATTGAAATTACAAATAAAAACTTAAATTTTATTTAGTAGGTACAGATTTAAACAGAAATGAAGGAATACTTACATATATATAATCACTTTAAACCACTTCATATTGTATAATCACATAGAATACTGCACTTTATGTATAACTATAGAATACTAACTGAACCAGAAACCGAACCGTGAACTGGATCCGACTGAAATTATCAGCTACTCGCTAAACAAATGTGCGGCGGGAGATTCCTCCTTTTTTTATTAAACTCGAATGGCAAACTAGTTGGCGGCTCACCTGGTGGGGAATGGCTATATACAGACATGACTGTCGTGTGAGGATCGTGGTTTCTCTTATGCAGTTCTTCTATTCCTTCTTCTTCTATTTCCGAGAACTAAGAAGTCAATGTAATGTCTCTTTTCTCGTTACATTAAAACTATAAAAATGTACTTTATATCCTAGTTATTAAGGTTAATATTTAAATTTTGTTTCACACAAATAAAAAAAAATATATAATATATTGTATGTAATAATTTTAAATAGTTCTTTTACTGTTTTGTTAAGATACAATAATAATTCATTTGAGTTAGTAAATAGGCTATGAAATATATATACATAAATAATTTTTTGGTACTCAATGTACAATATATTGTAAAAAAACGTTGATATGTACATTTATATTACTGGCTGTTACCAAAATAAAGAGAAAAAAGAAATAAAAATAAATATTACTTTCCAATTGTTAACTTAAGCGTAGACAATCATAAATTTTAAAATAAATTTATCATCTCATTATGACATGTGGTAACCTACCAGGATGAAAACTCAGTTTCAAGTACTTTTGAGTCATCCTAGGTTATAGAATTTTAGTATGAATTTCTTTTCTTTAATTAATTAAAAAAAAAACGATATCTATCTAAAAAAAATCTATCTAAAAAATCAGTTAATAACTAAATATTGAGGTTTCACCCTATTTTGTTGTACAAACTGTACTTGGTGCCCGTTATGTGACAGAAGCTTGTCTGGAAAATCGTACCAGTTCAGGTGTTAATTAACTTAACCACGATGTGACCTTAAAATCTGATCATGACGAATGTCGTACTTTCTTACATGATATTTGATATCAATATCGAAAATTGTAGTGTTACCTATTATATTGAAAGAATAGATATATTTCTTATAACAAGTAGAACTATATTTTGCCCATTTTATGTTAGAAATAACGATTACAAAATTTCGAGCATTTTTTAAATATTATTTACATACACTCACACACACACATACATACACACACGCCACTAACTCAGATACACCATACCTAACTAGAAATTGTATAACTTCATCACACAAACAGAATTATTTATATTTTTAATGATGTATTACACAGTACAGTACTGTAAGTCGGAGAGAGTTCCTGGAGACCTGTAATACAGGCCATTTAAATAAAATTTATTTGCATTGTAAGATTCCTTGTGAACAGTTTATAAAGATTATTATTCTTTATTTTGAACCAAATTTGTAATAGTAGTTTTAATAAAGAAAAATCAGCAAGAAGCTGAGCACGACGGTTATACAATCGCTATATAGATTCCTATATAACATTTTATTTGTGTGAATACAATATCACTATATTGTATTCACACAAATAAAATGTTACTGAGTATCATAATCATTCAGACACAATGACGAAATATACTAATACTTAATAATTAAGTTGCCACTGATAATCAGAGAGCCAGGAGAGCTCAGCTGAGTCAAGAGTCAGCTAATTTGCCATTTCTGTTACAAAAAAAAGGAAACTTTTATCTGCCTATACTCGTATAGTAAACAGAAAAATATCAACAGGCTTATAACTAGAGACCTATCCTGACTTTGCACGGACACATTACAAATCTTTGAATTTCTCATCTCTCTTATTCTATACACGCATGTATTACATATAAACCTTTGTTTTGGATCACATTATGTATTAAAATCAGTAGCGTAATCTAACAGATATAAATGAACAATGTGGTGGCGACTTTGTTTTATACTGATTACTATGTAATGATTCCTTAATGTTATTTCTTTGAACAAACCATTAATAGAATTAAAAAGTAAAAACAAAAAAATTGAAATTTGAACACTAATAAACATTTTCGTAATCAGATCGAATTTCATTTGGCAAATATAAACATTCCATTTAATTGATACGAGTACATGCTTACATTTAAATATAACCGACATCTAAACGTCATTTGTACAGTACCTATGGGTATATCAATTTGAAATTTACCCCTTTGCCAATAAAATTCAAAATATAAATAAACATAATTGCACATCAGCAAGATTTATCGAGGTAGCGACACGCAAATTGGCTTTGCGCCGTCTTGACATACGTAATCGTACAATTTACGTGACAAAACCCGCTCAGTGGGTGTCGTTGGGGGGACTATACACGTGGCTTACGAACTGAGTGATTTTGGTTGCCTTTGACGATCAAAATACTTATTCAGAAAAGAAAGTAACGAAGAAAAATATTGTATTGACACGCAATGTATCAGAACATAACCAAAATGAAGCCAATGATTCAGTGGTTAGCGTATTGCCTCAATTTTCCAATAATCGCAAGTTCGATTTTCTATGATACGAACAATTGTAGATACGTGTAGTTGTATTCAAGAGCATGTCTACTTGTGTTAATTTTTTTTATGATTAACTACTGTATTAGTATGTATTAGAGACATGGTCACTAACTATGTGCCTCATGAATAAGCTCAGAGTCACTCAGAGGGCAATGGACAGGGCTATGCTCGGAGTTTCTCTGCGTGATCGAATCATTGAGGAGATCCATAGAAGAACCAGAGTGATCGACATAGTCCGAAAAATTGCGAAACTGAAGTGGCAATGGGCAAGGCATATTGGACAGATGGCCGTTGGGACAGTAAAGTCCTCGAGTGGAAAATTCCGCGTGGGAAGGCTTCCGATGAGGTGGACCGATGATCTAGTCAAAATCGCTGGAAGTCGATGGATGCGAGCAGAGCTGGACCAATCTTTGTGGAGATCTTTGGGGGAGGCCTTTGTTCAGCAGTAGACGTCTTCCGGTTTAAAATGGTGATGATGATGAAGTTGATGAGATAAAAAACAAAACTAAGCAACTAAGTTTTAGGTGTCTTAGTACCATAATCTGCGAGTCTCTCCACCTTATTACGGGGAAAATCGAGCACCATTGTACTGGGTTTTTTTAGTACCATTCAAATTCTTCTGCGTATTTTTACACTAGTTGGCAATATGTAAGTTGTCCAGGTTTATCTATTTATTAAAATAAACAAGTAAATAATTATTTATTCATATTATACAACATACACGTATACACACCCATAACACACACATAGATAACCGAGAAATGTTAACAATATTTTTACAAAATTAATTTTACGAGCAATAAAAATATAATTTATTTGAATTTCTAAAATTGGACCTAAATTATATATGCATACGATTTATTATTGTCTATACAGAATGTTAATAAACAGTCGTTTTATTTTGTAAATATATTGTTTACATTTGATTTCCTGAGCGCTCCGCTCCATGACTTTCAAAACGCCAGAAAATAGGGAAATAAAATGGTTACGTAATGAGAACATATATTTTCCGCGTCGCGTATGGCAGCACATTTCCCGAAGTCAACAGCACTTGTGATGATGTCAACACTTGTCCATTACTTTTTGAGGCTGGCAAGTTATACGGGCTTTTATTTTTAATGTTGCCATGTGATATGATAACTTTAAAAATATTTTTGTTTTAATATGT